CATTTCTTTTTTTTCGTAGTTCAAGTTCTTTGCCATGAAGAAGGTCTTCACACGGTGGATGTACAGCCCAATACTTTCATTAAGGTGCCCATGGTATTTAGGCATGGACAGTCCTTCTACTCGTCGTTCCGTGTCCCGTTGCTGGTCGACCGGTTGTTGGCTCGCCAGTTGGTTCATTGCATCCTGCAACTGTTGATGTAAAATCAACTGCTGCTCTTGATGTGCTTGCTGGTCCCTCATCATCTGCGTGTGCGGCTGTGCTTGAGCTTCTAGCAGCTGATTGATCATCTTCTGCTGCTGCTCCATCGCACCCATCATACGCACAAACGCTTCCTCCATATTTTAGAAAAAAGAAGCACTGGATTAAGGATTAGCAAAAAATTCGGCCAATTCTTCTTGTTCGCTGAGCTTCGGTTTCTTCTCTACAACCGGAACCGGTTTTGGCAAAAGTGCGCTGTTGATTTCTTCTGCCAAAAAACTTGACGCAACTGCCAAATTTGTCTGGACTTCAACGATTTTGTCCAAAACGCACTTAATCCGGATACTTCCGACTGTCCCGTTAAGTCGGACCAGATCCCGCTTGAAACGCTCGTTGACTCGCTGGGCTGCTTGGAGCTTCTCGATGAGGCTCTTTCTTATCGCGTCCAAATTCTCAACGTCAGGCTCGTTGAGTAATGGATGGTCTTAAACGAAACTAGGCGGTCAGGTACTTGATTAGCCTTTCGCTTAAGATCGTTTCGCTCGCGCTTGATTTCGCGTCCACTCGCAACCGCTTCTTTCGCCGCCTTCTTGAGCTTATTTTCCGCCGTCGCCTAGTTCTTGCCCATAAAATGGGGGTCCGGTGAGAATAAACTTCACACGCAACAAATGTCTTTCTGAGCTGTCGACTCAACCTCTACCGACCCTGATGCCGGATACTAAGGAGAGTGCCGTCGTAATAAAAGAGCACCTGAGCGATCACTAACTCAACACCAGCCGCCGTGAAAGGTCGCAACTGAACCTTCGCCTGAGCTAGATACAGTAACCTTACAACCTACGAGCTATGCCCCTCGGAGTAAGTCCTTATTGTCAACCGCGAGTGCTACCAACTGTAGCGGGTTGATAACGCAGAGGGAATTGTAAACTGATTGATTGGCGTTATCTACATGCATGACTTCTCTGACTATACTATATCTAATACCAGTACTATACATACGTGCGCTCTGCAGAAGGAACTTCTGGTGTCCATGGCCGAGCACGCCGCACGCCATTCGAGCTTAGTCGTAAACTGACGTCAACAGTGACGTCTGTTCTCATTGGGCGATAACCCTATGACGCTACAGTTTCAAACTCAAGGGGAAATCAGTAGTCGAAAAAGTCGTTGATGATGCGCGCCTTGTGGATTGGTACATTGTCCTGCTGCCAAATATAAGTTACCCCCCCCCAGTCCGAGCATCACGATGTTGAACGGGATTTCCTCCTGGAGCAGTTAAAGATAACGTGCGGCGTTGACTTTGGCTTCGACAAATGTCAACGAGCAAACACCATCTCAGCTTATGGCATCATAACAGAATCGCGGTTACTTTTGAAAGACACCGCGAGACGGTTGTCCTTGAATTCTTCGCCGGGTTCTCGCCACACGTACATCGTTTAGCATTTGGCCTTCCACGTGACCCTCTAAATTCGACAATGTCACGGTGGCAACCTCCTGAAGAAAACACACACACCAACAAACACGTTTCATTCTTTTTAAAGGTTATGCATACTATCAATCAACTCATAAACCTCCTTGTCAATAATACCAGTATGGCGCCAACAATTTACAATAGTGACTTGTGTCACATATTGCCAAGCCTCCTTGGCTCACTCCAACGCTTCCAACAGACTAACTTCGAGCAGTGCTCACGAGTGACGTGAAATTTTCTTATTCAGTTTCGTCAGCCGTTTCAACCAGCTTGTCAAATGTTTCAACAACATGCAATGCTCGCAACACACCAATCCAATGACGGATGGACATCGTCATAGTCATCGTGGAAATTAAGCTAGGATATCAACCCCCTCCTGAATTCGAAAATGATGTCGATTTTTCAATCCGAGTACATTGACCAATCAGAAGCAAGGAACCCTACCGAAAATACCTTTTTAGTTTTATACCTGAGCAGTAGTGATACCTCTTAAAACTTATCGGAATCAAAGGTTCCCTATTCTGGGGGACTACCGGTACTGTACTACCGGTAGTATTTTTCAGGTGAGTACTCTGCACATTCCTCAAAGTTTTCGATTGCCCGATTGATTCAATGGGATTATCACCGTTTTTCGTATTGTTGGGTATCTTGCTTTTGATTGGCTGATTTGTATTTCGGGAAATATTTCAAATTTACATGTTAACTGCACTATCTCACGGGAATCAAAAACACTCCCTTTCGTGCCAGAAGCGTCTATTTCGGTATGGAAAAGGATGAAAATCCCTATCATCAATTACTGTGTAATACTATTATTCGGGATGTACACCCTCTGTCAACTCACTCCAGTAAAAGGGAGTGAGTTGACAGAGGGTGTACATCTACCCTAACTTCGAGTTGATACAAGATACAGCTGTCCTATTGGCCAATTAACTACGAAGTTCGACCTAATTTATAGCCAATCAAGAAACATGAAATAGAAAATGCAACTTCGACAGGATATTAAATTACACATTTTGAATCACCGAATGCAGCATTCAATAGCTAGTACAGTGAAACTGATTAGAAGAGGTTATGAGTACCTGAAGGATTTCCGACTAACATTTTTATTGATTTCCATTATTTAAATTATAGCCAATCAGAATCACCAATTTTGATACTTGAGTATGATTGGATAACTCAAAGAGTGACACACAAATATCTTCGGTGGGCGTTGCATTCCGTCCTTCCCAGTAACTAGTAAATAACTTTTCTGGGCATGTATGGACAACGACGGTAGAATTTCTGTCCATGTGTCCCGGTTCTTCTGTCAAGACTTTGAACAAATACTTTTCACTGGACAAAAATACATAATTTTGGCCAATCACAACGAATGTAGATTGCACTACGTGATCAATCATGTCATAACACTCCTGTTGTCCATTTGAATTGTGGCTGTATGACGATAAGCCGCCGTGTGTTCTGCACATTCTGCGACTGCTCGTGCGGCAATGCCCCTTTCAGTTCCGCGTACAAGTGGTTGGTGCACCTGCCGTCATAGGCACATCACACCCTTCTTCTGCCTAGGCCACTAGAGTTCACGCGCGACTTCCGATCACGAGGCCACCGGTGCCTCCTTCAGTGCTGCGCCGCACGCTCGCCTTGCGCGTGCAATCTGGTCATGCGTGTGGCGGGAAGCTTCACCGACCTTGAAATAGAGAGGTTTATGTGCTTCTCGCGAGTCGAAGACGCTCGATCTCAAGGGCTGGACATGGGCCCCGTTGACTCGACTGCTCTCAGAGCCATGGTCGCAACCACGACCCTGCCACGCCAGGAAGCACATGCCATCATTCCCAAGCCTCCTGTACGCATCACACCACCGTATCTTATTGTATCCTTCCCTAGCACAACCACGACGCTTCTGACGGGGCGGTTGGTTTTGATGGCACTTTGTAGTTGGCCGAGTGTCTCTTCGACGTGGATGTGGCCGCCGTCGCTTCTTCGTTGATCGTTCCCAGCTCAAGCGGCACATTGTACACATTCAAAGTACCATCTCGTTAGGCTATAACTACCGACCCCCATCACAACAACATCATCATGTAGTCGTACTTGGTTATGACCGAAGTCGAGGCGCAAGTGGTTGTGGGCTGGGCCCAGTCGCCTCTATTCACCATCACCAGTGCTCCCCCCTTGTTGCCAACGCTCAGTTTATTTGCCCTATGCGAATGCCGATGCTCGTACTTCTCCACCGACTACATTCGGTATTGTCCTTTTACCCAAAATTTGGATTACTTTTGTGCGGAATCGCCAAATCCCATCGATCGATTCTTTAATTTGTAGTACGTTGTATGTAGAAAGGTGTCCTGTGGTGATTTGTGATCACACTAATTGAAGTCACACACTAATTTGACGATGGTTTTCTGCAATCTGATTGGCTCAATTCTACCGCGATGGTTCTTGTGTACATTTGGTTCCTGTGGATTCATCATTCTCCATGTCGCTCCAGTTTAGAATCAACACTAGAACAATACCAAATCTACCCCCCCCTCCTCCAACCAGTAAAATCAAAATTAAAAAGCTGCTCACACAAAATCATCATATATTCGTAGCATGAACAAATCGTGCGGCCGAAAAGAACTGCGATGTTTTCCCCACTGTTGCCCTGATCATATGCCATATAACAGCTGCAACGTCCCCCTTCACATCCGGCTTTTGTCAGCCAGCGCAGACTGGACTGTCCTGGCCCGGGTTGAGCTGGCAACATCTACATTAGCCATCGGCGACGTTCTATCTCTCGACGCTTTGCAGACCGACACGAACTGGATTCTTGGGGCCAAGATGGATTATTACGTACGTGTAGTTTTGTTGTGTATATATATATCTAGACGTTGGATCATTTTACTAGTATATACTCCAAACTGGTTTATACATATATATAGGACGACGACATTGAAGACGGAGATATCTACGCTTTTCAATCGTCCCATCAAATCGGCGAACGCCAAGTCGTGATGGGGTGGCCGTACTCGTGGACGTCCACAGCGTCCCACACAAATCGAGAACAAATGCACGTGTGGACTGTACGTAATATAAGCTTAACGTGTCGAAAATATCACAAAAGACCAAAAAGTGATACAAAGCCAATGAAAAGTGATATAAAAGCCCGTGGAAAGTGATATAACAGAGAGTGAAAAGTGATATATAACACACGGTGGATGGATCCTGTAGGCCTACGCGATGGAAAGCACGGGCACCGACTTGCGGGTCCAAGGGGTCGTGTCGTCCGCTGCGTTTTCCGTGGTGTCGTACCGCCGCCGCCGCACCACCACCACCACCGACAGTAGTTCATAATTGTTATAATTCCAGGCAAAATATAACACTGTCGTTACTATTGACACGTGGTTTTATGGTGAGTAAACAGTGACTTCATGGACGTAGCAAAAGTCAATAGTCGTGTTGTACAAGGTGATTTATTATTAGTATCTGCAACCAGTAACGATTTCCACAAGTGTACTCGTATTTATCCAGTGTTTCATTGTTTGAACGAGCTTTTACAATTGTCGTTGGGCTAAGTATATAGTGTCTACATATATATACTACTGTAGTATATATACTACTGTAGTATATATGTAGACACTCGGAAGAATCTATAAATGTTGAATATACAGTGAAATATGCGAAACGCTGACGTTCAGAAAGCTACTCCAGATTTATCATGCCTTTGTATGATCAGTTAACGGCATGTGACCAACCCACGACTGTGTGTTTGTTGATTATTGTAGGCGAATTGTTAGTATGTATTCCATGTAATGACTGTGAACTTACAATCGCTCGATATATATATGTTGTCATGATATGAACTTGATTTCACAAACACGATGCGATATATATAGTGCACGAAGTACTTTAGTAGATGCAATGCAACTTGTTTTGCATGTACTACATATGTAGAGAGCCATGTGAATGCGCATATCAACCAACTAATACTAACTATTAGACGATAGGATGGCAAAGGCTACCATCGACCCATTCCAGAGGAAGTGAATTTGTTACAAGGAATTATACGATTTAGCTGAAGGTGATCAAGAATCTTCAAGTGCGTGCGAGAAATACCATGGGCAAACAATAAAACATGCAAATTAGAAGACTATTGGTTGATGGAAAATGATAAGTATTACTAAGTAGTACTTTGAAGTATGAGTAGTATACGATGCCAAGACCACATTCCGATACATAGTATCCAAATACATACAGTACAATAAAGCAAACTCTGAAACTATTTCAACATAATCATTCACATACGATTTGAGCTACGGAATAAACACTGCATCTGTACTTTGACATACCCCGGAGTATGAAATTGACTTGAGGCACTGGCCAGATTTGTGTGGCTTGAAATGTAGACTTATACTCCTCGGCATTCCGATTGTTCGTTGAGCGACGATCATTAGAGCACTTTACTCTTCATGTTCATTGACGGACGAGGCTGCAGTTGTTTCGACTTATTAACAAAGCAGTCATTTTCCATGTTGCATTTCAGTTCATCATAACCAAATGAAGTCGACCAGTGCGATGACGCAATGTACTTAGGCTCACTCCGACACAAGCATGATTTAATGTAGACTGCAGAACCCATGCATTGTCCTTCTGTCAATTCTTCTAGTGTGTAGCTAGCTAGCCGAGTAAGCCTACGACTGTATCGTGGCAGTTGTCCCTACTATTATGTACTGTAAATACTTACAGTAATGCGATAGACAGGATGGAATGGTTTCTATATCATTTCACAATGAAAACACATGTTTTACCACACTACAGTAAATGACCGAATGTATAACCGAAGATATTTTATTTTTACAAAACCACGTTATCAAAACAGTTCTGAATGATTAACGAAATGACCGAGTGATTTTAACCAAAGTAACGAAATTGCACCATAAGTACGTACTCTGTACAAAACTATAAATCAAAGTGATCGCTTATATAAAAATATAGAAAATGCGACACTGCCCACTGGGTGGAACAAGGCGTAAAGAACACTCTTATGGAATGGTACGACTACGTATTGACTATTGCATTTTACTACTAAGTTAAGTTATGCCAAACTCTTGTACTAGGTAGTAGCACTGAAGGAGTTAATGCATATCTCTGGAAGAATTAGGAAAAACCAACAATTTTGGGTAGTGCTCCTTCATTGCATGTATCCGAATCGAAAGATTTGGCAACCATCTTGTACAATATGATGAATACATCGATGGCGTACCTAGAGTAAGGAAGAATATTCAAAAATATCCCCCAATACGGATATATAGAACGTTGGCGTTACTGTGTTGGAGCTTGACAGTTGCGACGACCATGCATGGCTAAGTTACTGTATCTCGGCGAGCATCGCATTGCGAGAGAGAATGTTCCTACAAACACTTGCTCTTTTGAGAACGTTATGGAAATATCATTTTACGCAATTTTGAATGCAAATTACAATCCATGTGTACTTTGTAAATCGAACGGGTCGAAGAGTTGCGTTTTTGGAAGTGACCCGAGAGACAATGAATTTGCAACAGTATTTCAACGAGCTACGATTACAGAATCCAGACCTTCCATTTATTACCATGTCGCATAGGTTACCATGCACCTTACCATTTCCAGCTTCGTACGCTTGTACCCTTGTAACCCCAAAACCCCTTGACATATAATGCGTGCCCCTAAATCACTTGTGTTTTCATATCATGCCTGTTCCCGGGGTAAGTAAGTGTGTGTAACAACAGGCTTTTGACATACCGATCAAACTGATCCTGATATCCGAAAGCATACAAAGTTGGTAGTATAGCACTTGTAGTCGTGGTTGCACTTGTATATTTTTGCCAGAAGTTGACAGAAGTTGTAGACTCTAAAAATGCGTTTGTGTTTTGTATTGATCTCAAGTGACCGAGTGTTTGCCAAAGTAATCTATTAACGTTTTACCTCGTGATTCGCGAAATATACACGGTCACTGGGTCATTGGTCAAGTGGTGAGATATCTACTAAAGTATGTGTTGTCAAGCCAATAACTTGGTAACTCACCACCTATAGTGACTATTCTGACCAATCGAACACCTAGGACAACAACTTTTTGAGATCGTGCCACTTGAATACAAAACCGGCGAAATCGAGTCCAGTAATTATAGTACGTAACATTAGCATGTATACCATCAAACATACTACTATTACTAGTACGTCGTTATGGGCACTGCCTCCAATATGAAACGCAGATTTACCCACCTACATCTGGACATATATAATATATGCGTAGACCTTTCCCAATATAAATCACATCCAAGCCAACTATGTACGTACCCCTTGACCGTTATAGTAAAACCGAAACCTCTATTTTGAGCATCACATCATGTTCACGTAGGAGATGAATATTAATTGCGGATAAAGACATTCCTCTGCGACAGAGTGAATATGAGTGATCAGCACAACTATCCGATGTAGGAACACTTCAAAATCAACGAGAAATTACATAATCAAAGGAAACAAATCATCACGAGCACGAACCTCACAGCATTGGTATCTATCAAACCATTAGAATTTCATCGCTAGCTAGCCTACACGGAACGTCAAGGACGAGTAAGCAAAAACATGTATTTCATTCGTATTAATCGTTAATGCGTGCAGAGCTGACATTTTATAACACAGTACAAAGTATTACGATCTTAAAATCCGATATTCACGTACACCTCACGGCATCCACACTATCATTCCCTATCCCTTTGGTTTAGTAACGAAGTAATATCAAAACACTGTACACATCACTTTCGATAGCTACAAAAACCAGGGGACCTTGGAATCAAGTAAACTGAATAGTACTATCACATTTTCTTCCTTCAACCATTAAAGCACGCATATCGTCACTTACTTTCAAACTTGTCGGTAGGAACTAGCACAATTTGCATTATTTATAAACCACCATATTTCAACGATGAACGAGGAGATTCTGAATTTTCATGCCTGGTAAGCGTCCATGTTCGCTGGGGTGGCTCAGCATTTGGTAGTCGTGATCTCAACTCTATACATCCATAATACTACCGTATTTGTCGTTGAGCTGCGCAATATGAAGTATAAAACGTGAATATAACTATATACACTTGATGTACTCTTCAATTCACAATTATGCAAACGAACATATTGATAAATATATCGTTCAAATTTAATTATTACATGGTGCAAAGGTACGACAGTAGTATGCGGTTTCGAATCGATATTGACAATACCTGATCACAGAATCCGCAGTCCAAGCACATCTCTCCTCATATGGCATCATGTGGAACGCGATATGAATAACATTATTAAAAACTTGCCACAAATGAAGCCGTAAGAAAACCTGGCCAAATAAATAAGTCACCATACTGTGGTCGTTGCCTGTGTAGCATGGTTCGGGCTCGACTTACGTCAACGTGAACGACGTTATCACAACCTACGATTTACACGAGCTATTGAACGTACGTATTCTACGCTGAACGGGGGGGGGTGCGGCATGCATCGCCGAGTTTGAAGCCATTGGGAACGTTATGATGCACACTTCAAGTCTTTGGTTGTGCTCGGTGAAGGCTTGTTCCTAGGTTCGTTGATAGGTGCTTATAGACCATTGCTCGACAGGTACAACAAGGGATAGCCCCCACTGAAGCATCTTGCTGGGATTCGTGAGCTTTCCCCGAATAGTATGTATGACCCTTATGTCGTCTCGCTACAGCAAAGGCAAACAGCAAGATGGAGCAGGCTGGTTCATGGTACGTACGCTGCCGCTTTTGATATCCCCCAAGTAAAGGGGTCATAGAGGTTCCTTCGCTGGTCGTTCAGAACATGGTGGGCGATCATTCAAAGTCGCACCTGCTGGCAATAGATCTCCTTTTCCAGATAACGTTCTACCTCTGTACGAAAGTAGCTGCAGCAAGAACACTCAACAGTTGTCCTCGTATATGTCATCCAGAATTACATCATACAAGGGCTTTTAGAGAGGAGTCCGAATTGACCTGGAAATAACTCCAATTCGGCCAAGTCCAGAAAATACCCTTGAAATACTGCAATAATGATGTTCAGTTATCACTGTACTACAGTATCATTTTTAAAAGTTAATACTCGCCAAATGGGTGGAATATCAGTACTCACAGTGTTTTGGGTTATATATGTGGTAAAGTCAATCTCGAAGGTATCTATAAAATGATAGAGCTTGTTGCAGCTACTTTCGCACAGAGAGGTAGTAAAATACCAAATTAAGCACATAACCACAATATAAGGCCTACTAGTATCTGAAACAGCCAATGAATTCCTCCAAATATTTTATAATCTAACCGCCCAAGACATATGCAAATTGGGTTGTGATAGATATTTAATAGCTTAAAATATACCATAATA